ACCAGAGTCAACCTGGATGTAGGGACTGACTGTCTTCAAACCAGCAAGGCCTCAAATAAAGGGACTGTTCACTCAACATGCAGACCACAAGGCGGCGAGCGTCTCTCAGCAAAGCCGCTTGCTCCTCCTCCCTGGTTCCAGACTGGCTCCCTCAAATCTGCATTTATCCTTTCTCTTGTAGTTTTTACTAAAAATGCCAGGGGTTGTCAACACACCACTTAGTGCTTTTCTCCCATTTCCTCTCACTTCCGAGCTCAGTGGGGTGCACGCAGCTGACGGTATCAGACCTGGTTTGGGGAGCAGATGGCACAGCAGCCAGAGCCCGCCTCGAGGGCTGGCCCAGCACCATGCTGTGGTGGCAAACGGGTTTATCTGCAGCATGAGTCCTGAGCTTAATTGGGGTGTCAGGTGGGGCTCTAGGGTGTACCCCACCCAGCTGCTCCCTCACCCCAATGTGGGGCCCTGGTGTGTGTTCCTGCACTTGGTGTCTTCAGGGGCCCAGGCTCTTCCTGTCCTTTCCCTCCATCCTTGGAGTGTGGCCTTTGCCCTAATGGTCCAGGTGTCAGTATGCTGTTGCTCCAGATGCAGGAGGTTGGGGCACTGGCTTTGACATTTCTCTTTTCAGAATTGTTTTTATTGTGGTAAGAGCATTTAACATAGGATCTACCCTCTAAGCCATTCTCAAAATGTACGGCAGCAGAGCAGGGTCGCACAGCAGAGCCTCTAGACTCTGTTCGTGCAGCTGAAACTTCATGCCCCCACCCTGTCGTCCTGCTCATTCCATCAGACTGCTTTCCCGTGCCTCGTGATGGGAATCACGCAGGTGTTTGCCCCTCTGTGCCTGGCTCATTTCACTGTAAAGGATGTTTTCAGTTTCATCCACATTGTTACAAATGGCAGGATTTCCTCCTTTCTTAAAGGCCATGCTTTCTCTATCCATTCATCCCTGGGCAGACGTTTGGAGATTCCACATCTTGGCTATTGTGCGTGTGCTGAGGTGCGTGTGAGTGTGCAGGTGTCTGAGACCCCGATTTCCATGCTTTTGGAATATACCCAGAGTGAGATTTTGGACCAAACAGAGTCATTCCCATGTCTCTCCTTGGGGCCCCACCACGTGCGTTCCCACCAGGCCGCGTGCAGGGTGTCCGGCTGTGGCCACGTCCTTGCTGCTGC